TGCTTTTTAAGGGAGCCTGCTAGATGTTTTGGATCCCAAATAGGTAGCCTAAGCTCAAATCTATCATTATCAAATACAAAAAGGCCTTAGAATGCGAAGGAAATCATAGAATTAAATGAGAACGCGTAGAATTTGCTAACTTATGTCCAAAAAAATAAATTTAGGCAAAAAATCTCTTAGCGCTGGAAAACAACATGTCATTAAATATTTTCCACTACTGAACATAAACATGCATTGAAGGCTGAAGCCTTCTCGGGTGGTATTCCAAGAGGTGGAGCAGTGAACTTTTTTTCGAGTGATTTTGTTACAACATCTGAATCTACCATCCACCATTTGAATTCAATCTTTTCACACTAAAAGCAAATAGGGTATTTGTGACAACTTTGTTGTGACGATTAACTTTGCCGTCATCAAAAAATTGTTGTTTACGAATTGGCAGTAAAAAAAAATTGTTACTTGTGACGGCATAGTCTCCGACGCAAATAACCATAAAAATATATTTTTATACGATGGAACAAGGGCCATCATAAATAGGACTATTAAAATTTGACACGACACGATTAATTGACACAAATTAAGCGGGTTTGAGTGAAATTTTAACGGATTTAAGTGATAAACGAGTTGACATACTAAACACATTTAATAAACGAGTCGTGTTTGAGTGAAACCTGTCAAATCGTTTTTTACTCGTTTACCCGTTTAAATAAAATTAATATAATAATAAATTAATAATTATTTTAAAAAATTAACAAGAAATAAAGAAATAAAGAAATCAATAAAAAAAAATAAAATAATAGTTCAAAAACAAAAAAGATGAGATGAAAAACACTTTAAAGACAAAGACAAACTAATGTCTTTTGTTTTTGTCCCATATTAGAAAATGAGGGGAGATGGAGAGGGTTGAGTTGCCCATAAAAAACGAATGACCTCTTATTTATTTTTTTTAAGCCTTCAAATTTTATTTTTATGTGATTTGACTATACATTTCTCTTTTTTGAGGTAAGTACAATTGACAATAAAAATAATATATATATTATTAAAATTTATTAATATAATTTTTTAAAAATTAAACGGTTTATATTCATATTGAAATTTTTTACCTATTTATTAAACGTATTGTGTACAAATTTATATATTTTTAACCCGTTTAATCCGACGTAACTCTTTAACCATGTTCGACACGTAAATACGCTAAACGATACAACATCAGATTGGTTATTAGACTGGGCGTCCCCAATAGAAACCCTCGTTTTCGTTCTTCCCCCAAATTCATCCTTGATCCACCTCCGCTGACCACCTCTCATCCTTCACTACTCACACCACACCTCACTTCACTTTTCTCTTTCTCTCTCATCAGCTACTTCTGTTGCCAATTGCCCTACCAAACCACAATAACCATTAACCACCATACCCTCATCCACTATTTCTCTCTATGTCATCTATGAATTGGCCACCACCACAAAATCAATACACATAGGCCCAATTTCTCTCGCTTGAAGGCCCCTGCTCGATGCGTCGACTTAGCTACCTAAGAAGCGGGGTACTGTTGATGAGGTTAAGAGGGCGTCACCCTGTTCGATTTCGAGGATTTGTTCGAGTTCTCCCCCAGGCGCATGCTGTGAACCAGCAACCACCACCACGAAGAGTAAGTCTAATCCCAAAATTTTTGCTTCCAACTATAACCCATTTGGTTTAAAGGCCCAACCCTATACAGCTCAATCTCTCGCAATTCTTTGTTAATTATGTTGTGTTCTTATGCAAATGTGTGTGTTGTGCAATTTTTTTGTATATTTGTGTTCTTTATTTTTGGGTGTTGATTTAGTAATGTTGTCTTTAATAGTAGTATCTATATATAATTTTTTTCCTGCTATTTCTTCTTTATTGTTTTCACTCTCTCACTGCCCTGCTTAGTTTAAAATGCTTTTGCTATTTATTATATGTAATAGTAGTATATGCATAAGGGTTTTTTTTTTTTAATTTCATGTGGTTCGTATATTGATGGTAATGAATTGGAAAGGAATGAGCAAGAATGGTGGATGTGCAAGAATGGGTAATGGGAAATTTGCTGAATTTGGAGTATCAAGAATTGGTGGATTGTAAAAATTTGGTGAATTTTGTTACTTAATTCCGTGGATGAGATATCTGGGTAATTTCCATGGCTAAAGAATATGTGTTGATTTTTTCTAGTGTTGGGATTGTCTTTTGCATTTTAAAATCTTATCCTAGTGCTTGAAAGAACTTGACTGCTGTTAATACGGATACCTTACACTTGTTTTGTTAAATCTAGTGATTTTGCAATGAAATAGGTGCAATGATGCTGCTTTTGATTATATTTAAAACCTCACTTGGATTTGTACCCTGATTTGTTGGGTATCCGAAGAGTTTGAGTGATTTGATCACCTTGCTGATTACATTGTGATAAAAATAGCTTAAGAAATATAGAAATTGTCTTGCACATTCTAACATGGAGGCATTTCTTGCTTACATGTTTATCCCTGTGATAGTTGGCCAACAATTATGTAATGACCGATAGTGAACAGTAATTTTTATATACTGCATCTATCTGCTGTTTGACCTTATCGCATGTAAGTCATAAGGTTGCTTAGTTCATGTTTTTTTGGGGCTAACTATTGTGTTTCTTCTTGTATTTAAATGGCAACGTCCCCGCCATCATTGAATCTGACTGTCCATTTGGCCAAGAAGAAGATGAATAACGTTCACAAATAGTGTTCAATAATAGATAGTGCTGCATGATCCTTTTGGAATTTTGGGGTGGACTTTATGAAAACCAAGTATTTTTTTTCAAGGAATCTGGATTCATCTCCAATACTAACCCATAGTGTTGACCTAGATGTTTTCATACTCTTTAAATGTGAAGAGTCACCTAAGTTGGTTTGCTATATGCAATACACAGTTGATTAATTAGTTATTCTCTAATCTGTCAACGTTTACTTGGGTTATGGGTTTTGGAAAAGTCACAAATAGTTGTAATCAAGAGCATGGACTCGTTCCCTCTCAAGCACAAATACATGCCCACACACCCACACCATACAGACACACAGAAAATTGTTTTTGTGATATGTCAATTTATGTTTTGTCTTGTCTCAATGTTTTATGTTCAGCTGTTCTTAATAATTTAACGGGGATTTCTTTTCCCAATAATTTTATTTTTTTCCCTTTGTCTTTATAGATATGTGGCAATTGAGTTACTTGCTTTTCACGATTTATTATCTTAATAGAGTTTTTAATTTTTTTGTCAAGGTTGGAGAGTGTTGGTGGTTTGTAGATGATCTTATGTTCTTCACTGATTATCATTCATGAATTAAAAAAAATCTACTTTGTATGCTTATTTTTTATTGCCTTTTGGGGCTTTTAAAGGTTAAGTAGGTTGTAATGGAATTAAGTTTCTGTTTTTGTAGTTAGTAGGCGTTATCCTGAGTTTGATGGACAGGCTTCTCAAGTGGACAGAGTTTTGGTCAATGTTTCAATCTCGTGAAATAATTTATTTCAAAAATAATTTTTTTTTAAACTTCCGAATTTTTTGTGGCAGCATCAACACCGTCACAAATACCTTTTCAAATAAATTGAAAAATATTATATGTTTTTTTGTGAAGGCAGAATTGCTGCCACAAAAAATAGCATGATTGTTTATGACAGCAATTTCCTGTCACAAATACTTTTTGAGACTACACTATAAATGGCGGACGAATGTTGCCACTAAGCTGTCACGAAAAGTAATTATGGCTGCAAAAGTGCTTTTTGTGACGGGATTGTGTTGCCACAAATGCCCTTTTGTCTTGTAGTGTCACAGCCAAAAAATTCACCATCTATATTCACTGCTCACTTCACAGTGTATTATATTCAAGAAAAATTATATAATTTTTCTTAAATTATATTCAAGAAAAATTCACCTTTTTTCTTGCTTGATTTTTTGTTCTTTGTATTCTACTTATAGCTTTTTCGGGACTTTAAGAATTTTGGAGAAGGGTAATAAGTCACTCATTAAATTCCCTCTTTTGTTTTAAATTTTTTTAGAAGAATTTTGTTAATCATATGAAATTTGATGTTGACTTGATTGTTGGGTGTTATGAAATATGGTTTTGGTGATTATTTTGATGAAATTTTGTTAATAATAAGCACACTCAACAAAAAGGTGATCCATAGTTTCCACATTCTGATAACACATGCAGCACCTGCTCACCGAGGATACACCTATTCTCACAAAATTCGAATCCAAAGGCAAGGCATTACACAAAATTTTCCAACCAATTAATTGAGCACTAGGAGCAGTAACAGTCTTCCAAATAAGCCCAGCCAGCTCATTCACCACCCCCCGTTCCTACTCAAATGCCAAGCTGTTTTGACAATTGGTCTTTGAATTTTGTTCGGTCCGTGAGCTGCAAAATCAGAGAGGTTAGAGGGACCCCCGGCGTTGTGTCACGGAAGACCCCTGCGATACCTAAGTCAGTATTGCGATTAATATTTGAATGGGCTAGTCTATAAAGCTAGAAAAATGATAAATGTGTGGAGTATGGAACCACGATGCTCATACTTGAGCCCCCCTTTCCTTTAGGTCTTCACCCGTCTTTATATTGGAAGTGGAGAGTTACTTATCATTGAGAGGTCATGCTCCTTGAGTTGATATATGTGTCTTACATTGCAAGTATCAAAAACTATGTTTGACCCTAATTGGTCAATCAACAAGATTGTCAGCTTTGTATTATCTTGAAAAGATAATTCTTGGATCAGATTATAATACGTCCATGTGATGCAGGGCCCTCTCCATTAATGTAAAATATGGTCCATCAATTCTTATCCTTTTGATTAAATATTAGGTCTTTACACCCTTAGTCTAAGCTCTTTTAGGTTAAAGAGAAATCGAATTACAAGATTAGAGCATTGAGAAACAGTAGCGATAAATATCTTCATTGTCTGTATGAAATTATACATGCATGCCATATGTTGCATCATTTTTCAATAAGCGACGTTGATCATTCCTTCTATAATAACTCCAACATAGGTATAGGTTTCTGGCAGAGTTCAACTTGGAAAACTTCACAGAACTCCTTGACCAAAGATTTGTGGGTGACATCAATCCGAAGGTTATCATCGCCATGACGAATATCTGTTGTTCCATGCCCATTAGATGATAAAGATTCTCCCAGCAACCCTTTTATGCTTCCAACTCGACGATCTTGTATCCCACATGGGACTATCCATTGAAAGGGTGTTAGATCTATGGTGACATTCAGTGCTAAGCCGTGATATGCTATCCACTGTGATACTCGTATCCCAACAGCTGTGAGTTTCTCATCTCCTGATGCAAGTGAATTTGTAAGGCTCCGAATGTTTTATCTCCACAAAACAGAGGATCAACATAACATACTGCTATTATAAAAGAAGCTTAAACCGAAGGTGTAAATTAGGGTACCATTGAAATTCATGATTAGTTCTCAGTTGTAATTTGTAGAACCTAAAAAAAAAAGAAAAAAATATAGGATAATGCTCTTCTACATCAATCTTGTATTTAACAAATTCTAAGAAACTGGTAAATAAGGAGTGAAATAGCTTTTCTGGGGTACAGAGAGCCCTAACATCAATCCATCTTTTGCAAAGCCAGTAAACTGGTGGGAATGTTGAATTAAACACTTTAAAGCTAATGCAAACATACTAGACTTACCAGAAGTACACCATATAAACTACTAAATACATTGGTGAAAGGATTGCAAAACATACCAACCCAAACACCAGTTAAACCCTCTAGCCGGGAAGCCTTGATCGAAAATGTTGAGGAAAGAACACGACTGACCACCTCCTCTAGCGTCCTAAGGTACCAATGAAGATCCATCTTGTGACAACGAAGATTGATAATAGGGTACATAACTAGCTACATTGCAACAAAGATGCATAAAATGTTAGGTACACAAAACAACCAAAAAGGGTAGACCTTTCAATGCATTGTTGCACAAATGAAACGTCAAATCTTGCACCCAGCTCAACCATGACATCAGGTTTTGGGAAGAAGGGTGCAAGTAAAAACTTAAGACTATTAAATAACATTGCGCTCTCTATCATATTCATAAAAGCATACTTTTAGGAAGAAATAGGTTGTCCCAGTGATTCAATACTTTTTTTCTCTGATTTTCTATGCATATCATAGTTCAATGACATTGAATTCTTTGACACTAACAACATGGAAGTCAAGGATTTTAATCACAGAATTTCAAGCCCTTCTTTTTATATAATCAGGTTTAAACGTTTTTCGATTTTAGATGACAGTAATGTGTGATGTGACAAAAATCTTCTGTGGAACACACCAAATTCTTTCAAATACAATTAACAACCAATTCCAAGCAAGAGGTAATGGAAACAACTATTAGAAATGTGCTAGGAAAGTAGATGACACTACCTGACTAGGCCCATGATATGTAACTTCACCACCGCGTTCGGTTCAAAAATATTTTCTAGCTACTTGTGTCTCAATAATATTCCTTCTTCTTTCTCTTATCTTTTCAATAATTAATCGAAGTTAATATGGTATCAGAGCATGTTTTGATCCAATGATTAGAGTAACCCAACTCGAGAAAAACAAAATTAGAGGGTCAACGAAGGATGTCATTCTCACTGTCCGCAAATCTTGCTTGAATTCTCACTGTCCAAGATTTGAAGCCTTGGAGTTCTGGTTCATCACATAGTTGTTTGTTGCTCTAGGTTCCTGGGTCCCTGTTCGCTATTCACTGTTCTTTGTTGTGATGCTGCGTCTCTGTGCAAACAAATATCAGATTGATTTGCTATTATTTGTTGTGTTTCTGCTCCAATCGGTGGATGTTTCTTTGCTGCGTTTTTTTTTTTTTTTTGCTATTCTTTGTTTCGAAGTTGCTTCGAATCATCCCCAAGAGGTTTTCCTCGACTTGATTTTTCATCGATTGTTCTTGCTGATTTTCAGAGGTTTGGTTCTGTGCTTTCTCTTCCTCTGTTGTGTCGTCTTCCCAATAGAAGATGAAAAAGATGAGACGCTGATTCTGTAGATAAGAACCAATTCTTTGGTTCTTATATACTTTGGGCTCTTGCTGGTTGGGCTGTTACTTTGTTGGGCTAGTGTTGGTTCGGCCTAATTCTTTGGGTCTTATTTGCTTTGGGCTCTTGCTGATTTGGGTTGTTGTTGGTTTGGGCAACCACTGGTTTGGGTCTAGTGCTACTTTGGCTATTTTTCTTCTACTAGGCTTGGATTTTGACTCTTGGGTTTTTGGGCTTCTTATTTGCTGGTATAGGTGACTATTGTTTTACCGGCATTGTTGCTAGTTGTCTTGTTGTTTTGCTAGACTTGCTCTTTTGGGTTATTATTTGCTATTTGGGTGTTGATCTGTTGGGCTTATTGATTTGTGTTGGATTTGGTTTGGGCTTGCTGATTTTGTATTGAATTTGGGCTACCAACAAGTATTTTTGATACATTTGTGTTGGGCTTGTTGTTTTGTGCTGGATTTGATTGGACTATGATTTGAATAATTTTAGTTATTTTAATGGTCTCTAATATAATATTTTTCAGTTTTTTAGAAGTGGGTTTGAACTATTTCATGTGTAATTGAAGGGTTGAGGCGAGTGAAGGCTATTTGGTACATTTGTTTGCTCTTTGGTTATGTAAGGGATGGTGTAGAGGGTTTATAGCCTTGATTGTTATGTTTGCCTAATATTTTATGAAATTGTGTTTATAGCTTTTACTTTTATTTTGCCTAATATTTTTATTTGATATGCATTTTAATTAATTTCTTTTTTACTATTATGGGCAAATTAATAATATGTAATGAGTAATAGCTTTTAAAGGTAAGATGATAAAATATGTAAGTTGTGTTTATGTTCAAATTTTTTGAGTTATGTTTTTGAGGTAATTTAGTACATTTTTTATATATTCATCTGCGTTAGATATTTATTGTTATCATTATGCGCACTGTATTTTTCTTTTGCTAATTCTCATTTTTTTAAATTGATTTTTTTTGTGGTACAGTGCTTTCCACGAACAATAACTAATAAATAAACTTGATAATTTGCCAAAAAAAATCGGGTCAACTGCACCCAAACTTGGATCCGACAGTTGCATTTCTGGGATAGGGCGCACTTCTCCTTGCCCCCATGAGCTGATGCCAAGTGGTCTAGAAAAGTTGAGAGAGAATTGAAAAACCAACACTTCTGCTAAAGCCCTAAAAAAGTGGGGGTTAAAGAAAATGGGGTTTCAGTTAGTTTCTTCTTGTCTTCACAATCACACTCCAACCATCAGATTATCCAAATCAAATACCTTCTCTCATCACACTGTAAGTAATTCTCATTTCGATACGTCCTTCTCTTTCTTTAATCGAATACATGTATATATTGTTTGTCTCTGATTTTTTGTTCACTTCCGTTTTTTTTAGGTTTCTCCTTTGTATTCGATACGGAATAAGATATTTGGAAGCGAGGTTGGATTGAGAAAACAAACACTTCGATTTTCGAATGAATTCAAATGTATGCTTTTGTTTCTTAGCCTCTGCTATCTTTGGTTTCTGGGTAAATTTTGTCCGCAAAATTGATTAGAAATTGAATTTATGGATGGTAGACTACAAAAATCTTCACTTAGCTGAGTGTAATACAGATTCTCTTGCTTAGTTAAGGGCTTATCTTCATTTTTGAAGGAAATATTTGGACATAAAACAAAATGTTTATATCATTTGTTTTTGTATGTTTATGTTCAAAGTGGAGTTTTTTTATGATAGTATATTTTGAAATTTCTTGGTCTAACGAGAACGTTTGTTTAGCAAAATTGGTGGCTGATATGAGGAGGAAATGCAAGTTCTCTTTACTACCGAGCTTGAAGAGAGGAGTAATTGTATGCGCTTCTGATTCTAATCCTGCGGAATCTGATTCTTATAGACAGGAAAACACTAGTGTGCGGATTAATGGGGGCAATGGGGTGGAATCATTTTGTGGAAATCGGGTTCCATTTCATTTGCTGGGGTGACTCATCAGTTGGTTGAAGAAAGTAAATTAGTGTTAGCTCCTTCCGCGGAAGGCACTGGCTCGTTTCTTTGGGCGTGGGCCCCTATTGCCCTGATTTCATCACTGGTCCTTCCGCAGCTCTTCGTTGGTGCTGCAATTGATGGCTTCTTCGGTGATGAGATCTTCTCAGGTGTGTGGTCAATTAGTTATCATTTAGGCCGTTTGCAAATGGCAAAATGTAGAAATCAGTAATTTATTTTCTTCAACTAAATAGAAATGGTTGAAATAATGGTTAAATTTAATAGGTGCATCAGTGATGGTGAAAATGCTAGGAGAAGAGAAAATCAAAATTTACAAGAAATGAAATGGTGATAGTAATATAGTCTTTGAAGTTTAATTGAACACATAGTCATTGATAGCTTGGAATAGTAGAGGATGATTCATGTGGTGGACACCTAGTAATTGGGACAGCTTTGTTTGGTTTGATATATTCTCATGTCTCATCTTTTTGTGCAAATTATGTATTGTTTGCCGAGTATGTCAATCACTTGCAGACATTATTTTTTATTTACGTTACTTTGTGATAGTGTACTAAGATAGTCAATTCAACTTCTATCAAGTTTTAATAAATATTGAATTTTCCTTATCAACAAAAATATGACAGTTTGCTACATAAATATGTTTCTAAGCTACAAATCCTGGTTCAACAACTTGAGTGGAAAGTAGTTCCGATCAGATCTCATTTTGAGCTAGATTGCTTATGGCATGCTAGCAAACTAATGAACATGCAGAATGAATTCTCGACTAACTTGGAGAAATAACTTATTATGATCTTGATCTGTAATTTTATATTTGTAGAAGTATAGGTGCACACATTTTGTGTGCATACGTGCGTGAATGCTTACTTTTGTTTTGGAGGCTAAGCATTACTTAGAAAGACTTTGAAGAAACTTTGCTAGCTTGTTTTGATTTTGTTCTGTGAGCATGAGTCGGGAACAAAATTTCTTAAATCCCACCAAATTAATGTGATTGAACAGTTGAAGTACATCGTAGAGATGCTGATAAGGTAGTTCATGCCTTAGCTAGATTAAAGAGCCAAGTGTAGCTTTAAAGCCTTTGACAGTATGCAAAACTATAATCTTTTTACTTTACTAAAGAGCCATGTAGGTGATTGACATTATTGAATTTCAGAGCCAGATAAAAATAATTTTTGGTCTGCTAGATTAATTATGTAGAAAGAAATTAACGTAAGAGATTGTGCTGCTAATTACAATCGTAGGCCATGTGTTGTACACACATGTAGAGAGAAGTGCATATCAATTGGTTAAATCTTGCGATGCTATCACATTATCATTTTTGTAATCCCATGTCTTGCATGGTCCAGAGCAAACATTCTGGATTGACATTTGCTGGTCTAGTAAACCCCTGCATATCGATTACAAGTTTCAGGCGCTTGCCTACTATGATCTACCTTGTAAAATAGATGGAATAACTTGCCTGGTCTCGTAATCTGTAAGGACCTACTTTGTGAGTTATTATGGGTTTGTACGCATCTTCATCTATTATCCTTATATCTTCTACTAAAATAAATGCATTATTCACTCTACCAAGTATAATTGTGCAGAAATTGTTGCCTCATTTGCTTCTGATATCTTCTTCTATATCGGACTTGCAACATTTCTGTTTGTTTCCGACCGCGTTCAAAAGCCGTATCTTCAGTTTAGCCCAAAAAGATGGGGCCTCATCACAGGTCTCAAAGGATACTTGACATCTGCATTCTTCACAATGGGCTTTAAGGTTTTTGCGCCTCTCGTTGCTATTTTGTCACTTGGCCAGTGCTTGGATTGCCCGCCTTAGTTTCAGTGGCTCCTCTCTTAGTTGGCTACCTGGCTCAATATGTATTTGAGAAACTTCTTGATAAGCAAGGGTCATCTTGTTGGCCTCTCGTGCCCATTATTTTTGAGGTATATGATTTCTGTATTTGTTTGCTGTCTATTATTTTTGAGGTATATGACTTCTGTATTTGTTTGTTGCCTATTATTTTTGAGGTATATGACTTATATATTTTTTGCATCTTTCCCTTTGAAACAAAGAGAAGAATTTCCACAACTGGTATTATTTTGGCAGGTCTACAGACTATATCAGTTTGAGCAAAGCTACTCATTTCATTGAGAAGTTAATGTTTGCAATGAGGGGCGCTACTCTGTCCCCAGAAGTGCTAGAAAGAAATGGTGCCTTGGTTGCAATGATAGTGACTTTTTCAAGTCCTTGGTGTGATTTGCCTGTGGTCATTGCTGACATTTCTTCAGAGGCTCTTTCCTTCCAGACCTGTAGCAGAGAAGTACTGATGCTTGTAAGGGATTCTGTGTAATACTTGTAAAAATTTTTACTGTGTTAGATCTATGCTTGTAGAGGATGCTTTTGAGTTCTTTTGTGGGCAAAAATTTGCACAATCACTAGAATGTTTTAAGTTGTGCTCCTAGTCTTCGATTATTGTCCGGTCCGTGAGTTGCAAAATCAGAGAGCTTGGAGAGACCCCCGACATTTTGTCAGGGGAGACCCCTCTGATGCCTAAGTCAGTATTGCGATTAATTTTGAATGGGCTAGGAAAATGATAAAAGGTGCGTGTGTGGAGTATGGAGCCAAGGTGCTCATACTTGAGGCCCCCTATCTTTAGGTCTTCACCCATATTTATAGAGAAAATAGAGAGTTACTTATCATTGAGAGGTCATGCTCCTTGAGTTGATATATTCTTGAGATATGTGTCTTACATTGCAAGTATCAAAAACTGTGTTTGACCCTAATTTGAGTCAATCACAAGATTTGTCAGCTTTGTATTATCTTG